ATTTAGATTATTTAGATTCGATTAATTAGACTATTCAGATTATTCAGATTAGATTAATTAGAATATTTAGATTATTTAGATTATTTTTTAACAGTGCTCCAACACCCCCTCCCTTGATTTTATGAGAGATAAAATACAATTTTTATATATAGGGGCATATTGGGAAATTGTGAGAGACCCAAGTCCCATTTGGAATTTGGGTGTCAGGGTCTTTTTTCGGTCGGATCAGGGGGAAATATAAAAGTTCTTAAAAATTAAAACGAGCAGCTGGAGCTGTTCTTGCCCTGCAAAAGGGGAGAAAACCCCCGTGGGATGGAGGGATTGAAAAACAGCACCACATCATTAAAAAAACTAAAAAATAAAGACTTTACATTAACGCTGTTCTCTGTCCCTACACCATTTGTATGGGGGGGGAAGGACACGGGGAATCCTCGTGTTTCCAGCACTGGGAATGGGATCAGCAAGGAGTTTTCAGTGGGATGCCGCCTCTGGCAGCACATCCTGCACCATCTCAGCTGCTGAGGGACTTCAGCTTTTCCCAAAATAACATCCCCGATTCCTAATCCCTGTAAAAAAAAACCCAAAAAAACCCCAAAATAATAATAATTAAAAAAAAATAATAAAAAAAAAATAAAAGAGATTGCTGGAAGATTGTCCCAGATTTCAGATGCCAGGGTTAACCTGACCTGGGCAGGGTTAATTTTCCTCTCAGGGTTTCGGTTCCTCCTTGGATTTACCTGTGTGGTGACTCCTCAGCTCCCCTGCAGCAATATCCCCCTGGGAACATTTTGCTCTTTGACACCCCCCCGTCCCCCCCCCCCCGACTCTTCCCATTCTCCACAAAATCGCTCCCGTTTCTTTTTTAACCCTTTTTTCTCCCTCGGGGCAGGATTCAGCCCAGGCATGGGGAGGCTCCCTGGGGGATCCACGGGAGGGGTGGAGGGTTAATTGGTGGGATCTCCAGGAGGAGCAGGAGGGTCCTCGGTGCCATCCCTGGCTCGGTCACAGAGTCACAGAGTCACAGATCCCACCCCCCGGGCAACTCGGTCTCATCATTTGGGGGGGTTTTGGGTGCTGTGGGTCGTTAAAGAAACCCCCAGGGACTGGTTTCCCTGGCCGGGACTCGCCAGGTCTGGACGAGCCCGACGTGGCGACAACAGAGCTGCCGCTTTCTGGGTCCTTTATAAAGCAGAGCGGGCAAAACGAATCCGAGGTTCTGAACCCAAAGTTCTCCTTTCCAAACGAGGGGACCTCGTGTGGGGCTCGTTCCCGGGGGTTTCCAGCGGAGGAGCCGCTGGGCTGAGCCCGCTCCTCCCTCCTTCCTCGCCCGGAAAAGCCCTCGGAGAGGCAGCGGGATCCCTTCAAATCCCAGAAAACCGGCTGGAGCACCATCTGGAGGCAGCTCCTGGAAGGCGTGGGCAGAGCGGGCGGCTCTGGGAGCACCTTTCGGGGGCTGAGCAGGACCCAGCCCCGGCTCCAGAGCTCCCGTCCCACCCTCGGCCTTGGATCCCAGGGCCTCGAGTTATCCCGGTCCTGCCTCTTCCCAGCTCGGACAAAGCCCCTTTCTGGCCGTTCTGCCGCCTCACCCGCAGCCAGGTGGCCCCAAAATGAGGAGTTTTCCCAAGAACAGGAGGGAAGCCCTCAGATCACACTTTTCCCCCTCCAATCTTTGCATTTATGACCCCGCTGCAACTTCTCGCCCGCGTTTCTCTGCCCTCCCTCAGTTCTTTTTCACCGGAGCGCCGAGCCCAGGGCAAGAATCACTCCCCTGGCCCCGCTGGCCCCACTGTTTCGCTGCTCTCCCCGCCCCACATCAGCTCCCCGGGGTTCTGGAGCTTTCCCAGCCTGGCTGGAGCAGCAGCCAGGGCTCCTCCGGGTTTATCATCCCATCAGAGCAGTTGGGGGACAGTTGAGTGTCTGTCCTGGGGCCGAGAGAAGGGAAGGCTTTGCTCTGGCAGATAAAGGGGCCCTCAGGAGGAGCCAGGGGAGGCCGTTGGTATCTGAGGGTCTCCCGGGCCCGGCAGACACACCCTGGGCACGTGTGGGGTGGGGGGGCCTCACGTAGGGAGAGGGGTCAGTTAACTGAACCCTCCTT